ATTTTTAGCGCATTTCCACAAAATAAAAAAAAATGCGCTATTGTGGGCACTTTGTCCGTCCGTCCGTCCGCTCGTTTTGCGACGCTACTAGTTCTTTATCTTAAGAGCTATTGTTCTACTTTTTTCGCTATTGGGTTCGTTATGGTGTCGAGTCTTGTACCAAGGAAGGAATTTTTTCTGTACCGCTTACAAAAAAAGTTATTGTAAAAAAAACAAAAAACCGTTTTTTCATGTTCCATAATTTTACACTTTTGCCGTTTATTAACGATCCTAGAGATCGTTTATAATTTTGCATTGCTATCTGTCGCCTGCCGGTTGGTCTCTCCGTCTGTTCCTTTTTCTGTCTGTCCATCTATCTGTCCGTGTGAACGATAACTTTGTTTAGAAATGTTCGATCGCTTTTACATCTCCGTTAGTTATGAACTGAATTGCATTAAATTCAATATGGGCATAGCTTTAGCCATATAATACGCAATGCCAAAAGTTGAATCGAATTCACAGTGCCCTTTTCGCATCTCGACCATTTATAAACCGAATTGCAAACTTTTTTACTTATAAAAGTATTTGAATGAAATTTGATACATAGGCACTTGAAATAAAGGAAAATCAAACACCAATTTCAAAATTTGGTTGTGCGCATGCGCAGTGCCAACTTTTTTATTTATGGAAGAATTTAAACGAAATTTGATACATAGGCACTTGGGATAAAGGAAAATCAAACGCCAATTTCAAATTTGGTTTTGCGCATGCGCAGTGCCAACTTTTTTATTTATGGAAGAATTTAAACGAAATTTGATACATAGGCACTTGGGATAAAGGAAAATCAAACGCCAATTTCAAAACTTGGTTGTGCGCATGCGCAGTGCCAACTTTTTCATTTATGGAAGAATTTAAACGAAATTTGATACATAGGCACTTGGAATAAAGGAAAATCAAACGCCAATTTCAAAATTTGGTTTTGCGCATGCGCAGTGCCAACTGTTTTATTTATGGAAGAATTTAAATGAAATGTGATACATAGGCACTTGGAATAAAGGAAAATCTAGCGCCAGTTTCAAAATTTTATTTTGCGCATGCGCCGTGCCAACTTTTTTATCTATGGAACTATTTAAGTGAAATTTGATACTTAGGCGCTTGGAACAAAGGAAAATCTAACATTAGTTTTAAAATTTAGGTTTGCGCATGCGCAGTTCCAACTTTCTTATTTAGAAAAACATTGAAATGAAATTCTTCTCATAAACTGAAATTGAAGTAGCACGTCAAAAATGGATTGCCCATGTGCAACGCTATCTTTCATATTTGTGGCCGGATTTTTACGATTTTAACAGAAGTTGCATCTTACAAATGGGAAATGAATGCAAGTGGAAATGCGCTTTATGTAAATCGTTTACGATTACTTTTTAACTTGTTAAAAGTTAAAGGCGTTAATTAGATTCTTGAAGACGCCTTTAGCTTTACTAAAACTTTCAGCTTGCGAAAAGTTAATAATTGAAAGAGTTATATGGATACCTACCTAGCGACATGTGATATCAATAATAAAAAAAGTAACTCATTAAAAGTTTCAAATGGAAAAGGAAGGTATTTCTCATTAAAAATTTTCATGTATACGGTGCACATTGGTCTAATATGAACCCACGCGGGAAAGCTGTTAGGGCTTCTACTTGCCTTAAAATATGAAAAAACCGAACAAAGACTAACCTCTATACCTATACCTTTCTTGAGATGGATGGTTGTATTTCAATGCTCAATGAACCGCATGACCGCTTTTTGGTATGTTCCGTTCACGCTTACAGCCTTTCGGAAATGGAACATCAATAAAATTGTGAATTCAACTCGCTCCTTTTTGCTCAAACCTTGCGGTTTTACGTTGTGGTTATTAAAAAGAAGCGCGAACTATTTTCAATATCAACACCGTACCTTTAACTTACTTTTTCACGTTCCAACCCGTTTCATTCTTTATAATATGGTCAGTTTTATTATTCTAGCTAGAGTTGTAAGTTTCCAACCTGTAGATATATTAAGTCATTCTTATTGGACTGCATACTACAAATAGATAACGCAGAATAGTCACGTTGTTATATATTATTACATGAAAGTATTGTGTTTTTTGCCACTTATTTTTCATCTTCAAGAATAGAATACATGCAAAACGGTGGCCATCTGGAAATTTATTCGTGGATTAATTCGCGGAATTAATTTAATTCGCTGGGCTAAGATGTTTTCGGGAATTTATTTTGATTATTTTGAATAATTTCGTGGAATTTATGTCTTCTGACGTGTATTGGCAAGCTATAAGCCACCCTGCACGATTTATGTGGCAGTGATGGTTTGGTGCGTAGGTCAAAATGAAAGTCTAATTTCAAATAAATAATTAAATTAATTCAATAAAATACACCCATGACTGTTTTGAATGTTTTTACCACCCGCACATCAATAAGGAAAGCCTTGCAGGGGGGTAGAAAATGAGCCTCCTCTTTGTTTATGGAAATACAGGTTTTGAAGCATCAGCAATTGGAATCAAACAAAATCTCGATGCTGTCGTTCCATCTGTACTCTCATTTCCTCATTTCCCGCTAAACGGCTGAACCGATTGGAACTAAATTTGGTACACATAAGGGCAGCATCGCGTGGTATCCGTGCTAGCCACAGCAATTTTTTTAATAGTGGAAACAGCTTTTTTCATTGATGCACCGGCAGTAGGTAAGCTGACCTTCAAATTCTAAAGTGGAGGGCCGCTTCGAGACCAATAATGAGAGCTCCTTCCATTCAGCTAAAATATTACCAGTTTTATGGGATTTCCGATTTGACATAAATGTGATCCAATTCTAAACGCGCTTTTACAGATACGTTGTAACAACAAACTTTTACCCAACTATCTTGAAACCGGACCTGTTGCGGTTACTCATACGAAAATAGAATGAAAATTGGGAGTATATGGCGCATTTTGTATCAATATGGCACTTACGAAATCAAAATTTTACTTTTTTAGAATGTAGAAATGTTTTTGTTGCTCTCTGACAGTCTAATTAGCTGCCAAAATGCATGTGTTCGGGCACACTACACACGCAAAGTTTTAAAGCACATTTCATCCCCAATATAGTATTCAAAAATGGCATTATACCGTATGTAAAGGAATTAAAGAAGAAGGTATATGTATTTGTTTAGATTAAGATGCCTTTGGTCGTATTCGTTAAAAGGCACTTTTTGTCTTCCAATTATACATAGGTAATTGTTACCATTTTCGGGTAAATATGCACAATTAGCATCCTTTATTTCTATTGTGTTTAATTCTCTTGTAATTTTTGTCACTTATAATTGCACAAGAGGTTTGTATTTTACCGAGTAAATTTGGGTTGTTTAGGTAATGAAAATCTGTTACCTAGTAATTAGACGAGAAAAACTGTCAACTAATAAAAATGCGCCACCGCAGGTGGAGCATTTTTAGGTTGACAGTTTTTCGAGTCCAATTGCTAAAAGGAAACAGATTTGAATTGCCACAACCCAAATTTACTCGGTTTAAATACAAACCTCGAGTGTAATTCGGCGGGACAATTTAACGAACAAGAAATTCACCAAATTAATCAATTATTGACAGACGTCAAACTAGTCATATGGGAAAGGATAATGCGATTATTGGTTCGAAAATGAATAAGTGAAAAAACCACTAGTGCATTTGTCGCTGGAAAAGTTGCAGGTAACTTTTGCCGCTGTCCAAGTGACAATTGCACTGCGGCTTATGCGATTTTTTATACATGAGTTGAATTGTCGCTTAAAACCTATCAATATCAGTGTTCGATTCCATTATAGAACGAACTTTCACATGTTCTTTATAGTTTTTACACCTAACACTGACATTTTAAATCGTTTCTAAGGTTAAGTATCTATAAAAAGCATTGTTCTTTATAAAGTACGTCGTCAATAATGATATCGTCTTTTATACTATTTGAGGTACGCTTATCTTCGAGAGAACATGGTTTTTATAGTTCAAAGGACTCTGCCCATTAACAACTAGCTCCTATCGTTCGCTTGGATTTAAAATGGATGCGATGCATGTATTTTTTATGCATTTTTGAAAGATCATTTTTCTACTTAACGCCCCCCGGCGTTTAGTGAAGTTGTTATTCATTTAGATATGTTTGAATCCGGGTTCGGGAATGAATTGTATGCCATCGGTTGGGTTGATAGAACAGTCTAGCTAGACTGAAGCCTGCTTAGAGAAGATAAAAATAAAATATAATGGTTACGCAATCATCAAACAAATACAGTCCACTAATAGCATTTTGTGAAAAAAATAAGTTGTGCACACAGAGTATAAGTTTTATTTGTAATCACAAGTAATAACGAATGTAAAGGGTGCGTTGTAATATCCGAGACGTTGAGGTGAAGGAAAGGCCACTGTGGCGGTCTATATTCGTTACTATGGCCAATGTATATGACATGGTAATGGTGTCAAAAGTGTGTAAGTTTGTACGAAAGACTAATTGTAAAGGATTGGTACAACGAACTAATCGTGTTTTTGGTTATCTTTGACATAAAAATCCAAAAATAATGTTAAATTAATTATGAGATTGGGTACGCCAAAACAAAATAGCATAATAGGTACCTTGCAAGATGGCGATAATATTTGAGTCAAATAGACTGCTGATACGACCAGTTGTATCTGTAACAAGAGAAGTCACATTTTGCAATATTCTAAGGTATAACCTACCATTTGAATTTGAGTTACCCTTGACTTAACACTTTTTAATTTTTGCTGCATCTCTGGACCCAGAGACGATATGAAGTAATAGGTGTACATGATGATATGAACGTATAAGTTGAGCAATACGGGAAACGAAGCCATTCCTCCTGGATAAAGTTTAACCAGAAACCAAGTGTAAAGTACTGTACTGATATGGTGATAAACATGCAGAAATGACACTTGGTTCGCTTTCTTCCTCAAAACAAATACACATGTTTCCGTAAGTTCTACCACTTTCATAATGAACGTTAACCAAAGGTATTGAGCCATACGAAGTGCTAATGGATCACTTGAGAAATCTGCTTCCTGACAGCCTAAGGTATAATGAGTCGTCCATCCCGCGGTGCTAATCTACACAACATACGTAAACATTTGGAAGACTTTATCGTTTATCTTACCCCATAAATTAATACACAGCAGGCTATCACCTGAAATAAATTGTAAACAGTAAGATAGCCTTTGAGGCTGTATGGTTTCTTATGTGTCATGTAGTTGGGTAAATAAATAAAAACGACGTAAAGATAGGTGATTAGAAGGCCAAATATCGGGAAAGGAGAACTCATCAAAGGCAAAGTTGCCGTCCTCTCATCTGCAAGTGTAAGAATAAATCACTATCGTCGTATATATTTACCTAGGTACTTACCTGCCCATTTGATAAATATCAGTTCGTAATATTCATTAATGTAGTCCATTCCTTCGAGATGAGTCGACCCAACAGAACAATTCATTCTCTACCACATTCCTTATTAATTGCCAAACAATTGTGTTCTACCGTTACGTTGAATTTTTACTTACAAGGACTCGGTAACAAAAGTTAATTTGCATAGTTCGATATAGGTTACGGTGACGATGACGAGGATTACTATCAAAAAAATGTTAATAGGTATACAGTTCGATGTATTGAGGGGAAGTAATTTTATATGCCCCTAGTTGGCCCGACAGATGTCCTGTCTTTAGCTATGCATATTAAATTCGAACTGGATTAAAAAATAAAAATGCAATATTTCAAAAACATAGTGCTTATTGTAATACTTTTTATACGCACCATTGTTTTCTGGCGCGTAAAAACTAATGTTGAAGGTTTTCCTATACGGGAGGCGACATACAATTGGGCATGTGCAAAACATGGATTTTCCAGATTGATCCCACAAACACTTAATAACTGCTTTTGAGATTTATTTCCCGACAAAAATTTATTAAACGTGCTATGCTTTATTTCACTGGTGCTGAAAATGACGTCATAAATGTGATTTGCTCTTCATTGCATTTAAATCGATTAATACACTCAATTAATATACGACCAATCAGCTAGGTGATTGTTTCAAATTCTAACCAATGAGATGAGTTTTTAAGTGATTATAAGCTAGATAGCTTTTTATCAGCGATTAAACGCTAGGCAGCTTTTTATCAGCGCGATAATTAATGCGTGTAGGAATGCGTAAAATATATAGTGTTTGTGAAATTTACCGTTTTGTATTAATCTCCTTAAAATACACTCGAACTTGGTTTTAAATCAGCATAATTTTATTTTTAATACACTCAAATTTTGTTGCCTCCTGGAAAAAACTCTCGATCAAAAGCTGAGTTTCGAGCATTCTGCCGGCTACTCCGAATTAGGTTTTCCTCCAGTTTTCCTAATTCGAAAGTAAATACCGGAGTAGTATAGAACAACTTAAGACCTTCTGCAGGGGCACCTCTAAAAAGCATTATGCGGGTCATTCTGTAATTGGGCGAAAGCCTGTTGAGGGCCTAGAACAAGAGAAGGACAATAAATAAATGAATAAATAAATAAATAAATAAACAAATAAATACATAAATAAATAAATAGAATCTCAAATATGTAAATACGATACTTTCATTCTTCGAACTCCTTTTTTCGGGAATATCCCATTTCTGAGCTGATTTGCTAATCAGAGCTTAGGTTGAATAAACTTGCAAGAAATGTTATATTAAAAAAGACGATTTCTGCAAAAATATAATACAAAATTCGTCCGTAAAATTGTACTACTTGACGAGAGGCCTCGTACTACTCGCCGGTAATGTGCAAATTTCCTGACTTTGTGTAAATAACAACTTATTCGTAAAATGTTGGAGGTGTTTTTCTTTCGCAAAATTCCCCTTATGCGATGATTTTCTCCGTCCGTCCGTCCATCTGTCCGTTAATCAGTACGCCCTTCTGTTCCTCATCTAACTCGAGAGCGAAAGCGATGTCAAACTCTCGCCAATCTATTTCTACGACCGACAGAATCGGGGCTATTGAGTATGAGTCGGATTTAAAGTCGTGTTTCCGAATGCGAGTTGAGTGTTAATAAATTCCCCTACTGAAAATCGTATACGATTCTTCGTATCTTGTGATTTTATTTTTTTGTCAATTTAATTCCCATAACAGACGCGGAACCTACTACAGCTTCATTGTTAGTTGTTTGTCATGCACGGTAGATTTACACAGAGTAAGAAAGCTTTTAGCATATATCATCATATTTTATACTACTAAAATAATTAGAATTACATTACAAATCTGTCGAAGTGAATGTTTACCGGTAGATCAACGTTATTCTGATCCCACTCCTTTTAGTCTAACCTTCATTCATAAAGAACGAATCAAATATTTGGCGGTGTAGTACTGAGATGTGGAATTTCGTTAATTAGGCATTAGGAAGCATTTATTAAATCATCAATAGGTATGAAAGCATTATGGAGAGAAAGGCTTATAATGAGATGAGATGATAAGCTTGGGTTCATAATTGCATAAAGGGCGCTGTTAGACAAACTAAGCTCCTGTCAGTTTCACTCTATCTGAAAATGCCAAAATTACAGTTTAGCACTGCTCGAGCGGAAATCAACAGCTGAGTAATCGATAACACTTCCGGAACAGAAGTTTGTAATTTACTATTAATTATCGAGTAAGTAATTAAGTAGTTAGTTAACGTGCTTCCATATTCAAGAAATTGAAATATTATTAACGGGACTCGCTTCGCTAATAATCTCTAAAAGACTCCTTTACCCATACAGCATAAGCACTTCTTTACTTTTTTAAACCCGTATAGCACTAGTGCATTATTGAAAGGCTCCGATCAGTAAATCTAATTGTGCCTATTTATAAACGGAAATACAATTGCGACCTACGCAGGTTTCTTTAACTTGTTGATACCATAAGCTGCTTTGGGGTGGATCTCTATTGCGTCATTATTGTAACTCCTTTCAGAATTTCCTTTCCGGCAAAGCTACATGTTGCGAGAGTGTGTTGTCGTGTTGCATTTTTTAGAGAATTCTATTTTAGAGGATATCTCAAAATGCCCCGAGCAGAGTTCCCACTCTAGATTTCAGATTCATGTGCCTATTTTCTCTAATGAAAACAAAATCGTGGAAAATATAATAAAGTTATGAAATTCTTATCTCTTCTGGTTTCTTTTATTTTAGTACAAGTAAACACGTGTTAACGTTCAGTGCCTTCAGCTAACAAAATTGAACGAGTGAGTTCGTAAACTGAAATTTGAAATCAGTAATTCAAGCAACTCGGTTCTGATTGAAGTAGGAAACTCTACGAAATAATGGTGTCCTCATTATACAATCGAATGTTACCCATTGAAATTATGGTTATGTAATGTAATTAAACTGTATGATATAGCATCTGACTGTTCAGAATAAAAATCCTCGAGCAAAAGAACTGAGCTCTCTTCGTTTTAAGACCAACATACCATTCGTAATTTTTTTTATCTGTGGCTTAACCTAACAGGGAAAAACTTAAAATTGAACTGAAATTATTTCCAACCTATACCTACTTGTCCACATTTAACTTATGTTCATTTGCTGTTGAAAGTTATTATTTATTTAATTTGATCCCAGTGCTAACATTTTATTAACGAATTTATGCAAAGGCGGGACGTCAGTTAAAATGTCGACCCGCTTAATAATAAACTGGTTTAAATCTAACATTGTTATCATCGTCAAAAGATCTAGTGAGGCTTTTCAACATCTAACAGAGGTAACTCAATTAAATTTGTGGTTTTGGATATCATTGACTGTTAGCGTATTTTCTGCAGACATTTTCTACAAAGGAAATGTTTTGATGCGTTAAGTTGTCTTCGACAATCGCTACGCTTGCGACTTTAAAAGTACAGGTAAAGACGAATCGTTGGTATGTATATGTTACCGTTGATGTACATCGCATATTACCTAATTATTCTGCGGATGCACTAAATATTCTACAGACTAACAACCAAGTATGCCTTAATGTGAAAAAAATCGTTCTTTGCTTAAATAAAACAGTAGAGCTGACTGCTAATTAACTTTACTTTGATATACCTACTCAGTAAAATCAACTCAGTAGTAGCAATTCTTGTTTAAATTGTGAAAAGATAAATAGTTACAACATTTTTGAAACAAGGTTACAAGTTATATGTTATATGTAGTTAAAACTTCTTGTAGTTGAATTTAAAATTACCTACTCCAGTGAAGTCGACGAAAAAACGTTGTATGCAATTCATGTATAAATCGGCGTAAATATAAATGCGCTCGTGGACTAAACATCTCACTCACCAATAAAACGCCTCATTTATACACTCATTGCATAAATAACTATTATATTTGCTATGAGGTGGCTTAATATAAATTATAGCTATGTAACTATGGTAACACAATTTATTTACAAAAGTGAATCGTGAAAGCGTACCAGAAAGTGTTCTCGCTAAAGCTGATGAAAGAGCTGTACAAAGAATTGTTCCCGTTAAGTCGAAATTCGTTTATCAAAAAGAATTTGCCGATTTAACGAATGGATGAATGAAAATGGTGTGAAAACTGTAATGTTGGGCTACTTCAACGAATTTTGATAGGTAGGTATGTTAGTCATTATGTCACTTATTACCTATATTTGATTTATTTTTGATTTTGCCTAATTTTGGGTTACCACCACATCAGCCAGGGGTGCTATATATTCTTGACCTCACTCGAATTGATGTGTATTCGTTTTAAAATGATGTGTGAAAATTCGCATACGTCTATCATTTCAATTCGAATGATATGTTTGGCAACGTAGAAATTGCTAGTAGTTAGGTGACACAACTGAACAGCTTTCTCATAGCTGCGTAAATTGCAGAAATTGCTTACAATGGTTGCGAACAGTGAACTCTATTATAGTTTGTTTTTGGTTGCGAAACAGCTAAATATAAGGAATTTTCAATTTCTCCCAAAAAATCGTACAGCAACCAAAACCACAGACGATGGATGATCACTGCGCGTTGATCAACGTGCAGAAGATGATTTCAGAAAATTTTGGAGTACACACGTATGCATCTCTCCGTCTGTATCTGGCTTAAGGAATTAATCAAGAATAAAGACGAAACATTTTTATAAACTGTCATCCTTCAATTCGTCAAATGGATTTTTATACAGTCTGAATACGGTGGACATGTTCATTATTTTCTAAATTTATATAATCAAGGTACGTCAAGGTATACAAAACATGGCACCTATTCTAAAATTTTAGGTTACAATGTATAAATTCGAGTGGCTTATTCCGCTCGTTGTAAAAACGAATGATATTTACGAATTCGAAATGTTCTCGAACGGTCAAGAATACCATTTGACCAAAGTTCATCGTTTTGGTTGACAAAACGAATAACATTGAATGAAATGAAATTAGTGATTATGTTAGAACGTGACAGTGCTATAATCGTAATGGGATTGGGTCTCGGTTTTATGGGTTCACGTTACAAAAGGGACTTTAGGCACCGTCAAAATTAAGTATCCCTTAAAGTTAAGCATTACTTAAATACCATAGCAACGA